GCGTGCCGTCGCGAGAATCGTGTGCAACAGAATTGGACGAAGTGCACACGCTCGCGTCGTCGCGCGCATGCCGAAATCATTCAAAAATCATGGGTGTCGGAAGGATGTCAATATCGTGTGCCCAAGAAACATGCAAAAACACAGGGTTCCGCAACACGGGCTTTCAAGAAAAGCGAGCGCGCGCGCTCTTGCGAATTCTTAAGAAAACCGTGCGTGACACCATGTTCAGAAAATGCTACCCAGCGGGCTTCGCGCGCGCGTGTCGAAATGGATCGAACCCCCTTGCGCGCGTGTTGGGTTGCTTGATCCGTGTCAACGAATACCATGCGAGCCACTCTCGCGCGTCTGCCGCGCGCGCATTTCGAATTCCTTCCCAATCCTGCACCACCGACGCGAAGACGCCGTCGTCGTCGTCGGCGTGATCGGCATCGGCGCCGTCACTGGCCGTGCCGTCGTCGCTGCCAACATAGTCACCAACATCGCTACTATCATCATCATCATCGTGTCTACAATTGTCGACGTTGCCATGATACCGCCGCAGCCCAAGTCGCCGAATCGCACTTAAATGCCCGCCTTGATGTGCCGAGCGGTCAGCACCACCGCGGCCACGTCGGTCGCGCCAAACTACCTGGCCGCTGCGCGAGCGCGCAGACGCGGGCTGACGCAGACGCAAAGATGTATCAACCAGCGCCAAGCACTCATCGCAATCGCCGCCGCATGAGGTTTGCAAACCAAGTTGCGGGTGGGTGGGAGGGATGTGTGCGCGAGCAGTGGAGAAGACATCTCAATGCGAACAGAAACTATTTGCATCGCATAGATTCCTCATAGGAATATTGGGGTCTCCCCCCCCGGAATTGTCGGTTCACCTTTTTCGTGTTGCAAATTGCAAATAAATCTGCCCAATCGACCATCCTGAGTATGAACTCGTACCATCCCAGCTAAGCCGGCATCTGCCCCCCCATCCCCTCATCATCGGCACAAAAGACACGACTAGTGGCGCGCATTCGCTAATCACAAAACATCAATGTTCAAACCTCCCTGCAGGAAAAAACGTATTGCACACGCACGCGTCGCAATTCCTTACAAGCTGTAACTCCGTGAGGAAATCAAGCGTCACGAAACATGTAAGACAACATGGTTGCGCAAGACAGTTTTTATGTCAAGTCAACGTTTGCGCTCGCGTTCGTGTTGGTTCTTAAGGAAACCGTTAGGTATTCAACATTGACATAAAATGCTACCAAGCGGGCCACTCGCTCGAGCGTGCCACAATCGTTCGGAAGCCCTTGCACGCGTGCTGCCGCAAGAACCGCTTTTCAAAAAAAACGACAAAATGCACTCGCGCGTGTCGTCGCGTGCGCATGCCGGAATGTTTCAAATCCCTGAGCTTGCGCACGGGTTTCTTAAACGAGCGTCCCGAACACATAAAAAAAACATTGTTTGGCAACATCAGTTTCCAAAAAGCCTGCGCGAGCATTCTTGCTAAATTTCCAACGAAGCCACCCGTTTTTGAACATTGCCATCAAATTCTGCCAAAACGGGCCTGTCCCGCCGCATGCGGAATTCATCCGGACGCTGTTGCAAACGCGCTGGAAGAGCGCGATCAGTGTCAAATAATATCACACGGGCCACTCGCGCGCGTCGGCCGCGCGCGCATGCCGAACTCGTTTCAAAACCTTTTTATCACAGACGCGAGGCCATCGTCATCGATGTCGGCGGGCGTGATCAACATCGGCATCGTCATTGGCCTTGCCGCCACCATCACCACCATCGACACCATCACCACTACTCTTATCATCGTGTCTGCCGTGGCCGGCGTCGCCAATATACCGCGCCCGCCCAAGACACCGACTCGCACTGAAGTGCCCGCTGAGAGGTGCCCAGCGGTTAACGCCACCGCGGCCGCGCGGGCCGCGCCGCACTAGCTGGCCGTTGCGCGCGCAACCATGCAGGGCCGCAGAGATGCACCAGCCAACGCCAAGCACTCATCGCTATCACCGTCGCGTGGGTGTTGGAAACACCCTTGCGGGTTGGTGGGTGGGATGATTGCGCGAGCAGTGTACTTGACAAGTCACTGCGAGCATGGTGAATTCTCATTTCTGGATAGAGAATAGACTCTACCCCCCCCCAGCGTTATCCGCTCCCCTTTCGGGTATATAAATCAGATATGTTTATGACCACACGTCCATCCTAGAATGAATTTACACTATCCCAGGGGGGCCAGGATCGGTCCCCCTGAGGTTCCCTTGTAAAAACCATACGCGGGGACATTGTTGTTCTAACAGAAGACTTTTTCACTAATCCCTTGCAAAAAAACGGGACGGAGTGCTCACGCGCGCGTCGTCGCACGCGCATGCCGAAATCCTCAAAAACCTTCGGTACCAGAAGGATTTCGCAATCGAGTTTCCAAAAAAACATACCAAATCACATGGCTTCGCAACACTGATTTGCTAAAAAAGCTTACGCGCGAGCTCTTGCAAAATCTTAAGAAAACCATGGGTTTTCAAGATTTTCACAAAATGCCGCCAAACGGGTTTCGCGCGCGCATGTCGAAATCTGTCGAACGCCCTTGCGCGTGTGCCGTCGCGAGAATCTTCTGCGAAAAAAAAAAATCGAAGTGCAGACGCGCGCGTCGTCGCGCGCGTATGCAGACATCCTTCAAAGCCCATCGGCTTCGGAAGGACTTCAACATCGTGCACCGAAAAAAAAACATTCAAACACACAAACATTCAAACACACAAGGTTCCGCAACACGGATTTTCAACAAAGGCGTGCGCGCGCGCTCTTGCGTCGTCGTCGTCGTCGTCGCCGTCCTCCCTCCTCCCGCGTCGTCGTCGTCGCCTACGCCGTCCTCTGTCTTTCCGCGTGTTCGTCGTCGTCGTCCTCTTCGGCGTCGTGGTCGTTTCCGTCGTCGTTGTCGCCGTGGTCGTCCTTCCTCCTCCTCCCTCGTCGTCGTCGTCGTCGTCCGTCGTCGGCGTCTCGTCGTCGTCCCTCCTATTTCGTCGCCGTCGTCGTCGTCGTCGTCGACGTTGACGTCGTCGTCTTCCCTCCTCCTTCGTCGTTGTCGTCGTCGGCGTCGCCATCCTTCCTTCTTCGTCGTTCGCGTCGTCGCCGTCCTCCCTCCTCCCTCGTCGTTGTCGTCGTTGTCGTCGTTGTCGTCGTTGTCGTCGTTGTCGCCGTCGTCGTCCTCCCTCCTCCCTCGTCGTCGTCTTCGTTGGCGACGTCGTCGTCGTCTTCGTCGTCGTCGTCGGTCGTCGTCGTCGTCGTCGACGTCGGCGTCGTCGTCGCCGCCCGTCGTCGTCGTCGTCGTCGTCGTCGCGTCGTTGACGTCGTCGTCGTCGTCGGTGCCGTCGTTGTCGGCGTCGTCGTCGTCGGTGTCGTCGTCGTCGTTGCCATCGTCGTCGTCGTCGGGGCGTCGGCGACGTCGTCGTCGGTGTCGTCGTCGTCGTCGTTGTCGGCGTCGTCGAAGTCGTTGGAGACGTCGTCGGTGTCGTCGTAGTCGTTGTCGTCGTCGTCGCGCTGTCGTCGTCGGCGTCGCTGTCGTTGCCAAGTGCCATTTGGTACCCACCGTCACGGTCTTAAGAGATTTTGCAAACCAAGTTGCGGGTGGGTGGGTGGGATGTTTGCGCGAGCAGTGGAGTGGACAACTCACTGCGAACAGAAATTAATTGCACTACTTAGATTGCACGGCCTAGCTTGCACCACGTAGCTCGCACCACGTTGATTGCACACCATATAGTGAGACATCCAGATTACGCCACATAGTTCATACCACATGTGTTGAACCACGCAGCGTACACCGCATAGATCACACCACACATATAGCCCCCCCAGGTGTATATATATATATACATGAATATAGATATGTGTGTTGCGGTGCATAGCTTGCACCTCACAGGTCAAACCAGATACACCAGACAACGCAACATCTCACAGTCGAGGGCCCACGCTGGCAAACATTATGTTTCAGAAGTGTAGATATCTTCAGCAGCAGTACGCACATTCAACAAACAAGCTAGTGGTCGGAGGGGTGGGCGTTGGGAGACGCGGGCTTATAGCTAAGAGGCATAGGAGGGGGTTACAATAGAAACAAGCGGTTACGATCAGAAACCTGGAGGCACAGATGTCATCGATCTTTGAGTTTCCTGGGGTCGCCTGAGGGCTTCTGTTGACCCCGGGGCCATCGGGGCACAGGATATTCCCCCGAGGCACCTGCTGAGGCTGGTTACTTGTTTCATGTGCCTCGCGCAGGAGAAGGAGGAAGGAACGAACGAACGAACGACCACCACTGCGGACAAGCGCCTGGGCTGCTCTTAGACCAGGTGGGTGAGGCCGTGGCCGCTGGATTATGCTAGCTACTGCGCCACGCGAGACAGACAAAAAGTTGAGGGAAGGGAGTCGGAGGGGAGGGAACAGAGGCTGCACATCGAACCCAGGCCGCCGCTTGACGGGCGGTCACTGTACCACTGTCTACTTGTGCTGCTCTGGCTCCCCCTTGATCGCCCTCAGCACCCTCTGCCTCGCAGCCCCCCCGAACACGTGCGCGGCGATGGAGACTGGCTCCGCGACGAGCATGTGGACCACGAAACTCTCCAGCCACCTGGTCACCAGCGGCAGCGACGCCTCCCTCGGCCTCCTCTGGGGAACTTCAGGATATCCATAACGCTACTCCCCGGATCTCTCCCAGAGTGCGTTCTGACCAGAATCTCGAGGCGAATCAAGCCGTGGCGACGGAGGTTTGCCTTAGGAGGTCCAAAAAGGCAACGCCAAGGCAGAGGAGGCAGCATCGGTGTTCATTCCTCCTCTGATCCTCATGGCCACATAGGCGACGTGCACCAGGGAGCCGCCCGCCACCACGCCCGCCCACACGCCAGCCGCGCGGGACAGGGCACCGTGCACGCCGCCCTGGCGGTCCCAGTCCAGCTGCAGCACCTTCTTCACGGGGGCCTTTCCGAGCGTCAGGTTCACCGCGCACGAGGCCGCCGACGAGACCAGGGAGTCCATCAGGCGGGCGAGGCTTCTCGAAGAGAGAGAGAGGGCACAAGCGTGAGCAGCCGGAGGTCCACGCGGACTTCTGGGGTCGGCGCCGGGTCCCCCACCTGTGGGCGCCTCCGGATGGGGGGGCCCCGCGGCGATCCCAGAAGTCCGCGCGGGCCTCCGAAAGTTATATGCTTGTGCCGTTGTGTCTCTTCTTGCTTTGGGGCGGGTGGAGCATGCCCGCGGCCTCCCCCTTCGCCCAGACCTTGGCCTGGGTCACGAGCCACGTGAGGCCGAGCCCCATGCCCAGGACCAGGCCGCGCTCGGTGCGCGTGAAGGGCTGGGGCTTGTCGTCCTTGACCTCGCCCGCGCAGAAGATGCCGAGGACGGAGTGGTCTTGCTTCAGGGCTGCCCACACGTCGAGCAAGAGCGCGTTCATGCTGCCACGCCGGTTGGTGGCGCTCGCGGCAGCGTAAAGACGAGCTGCAAGGTGTAGCAGATCCCAAACGTCTGCCTCAAGCCGCAATGACTACACGGGGGGGAGGCGCGAACTAGAGGAACAGAAGCTGCATAAACATACATAACCAGCCTCGAACTCATCCCTATCCCTGATATTGGCACGCCAAAAGGCGATGGCAATCTTAGGGATGCACCCTCCGAAACCGAGGTTATCCCTGAGATCGCCATCGTGACGAGGCGATGCCCAACATAGCGATAGGGATAGGTTCCAGGCCGGTAACTACACTTTCGGAGGTCCGCCCGAACTCCTTGGCTCTGCGCTGGCCCCCCGGCGCGCAGAGCGCGCCGGGGGCCAGCGCCAGAGGCGCTGCCAGGGGCATCATCGCCGACCTGGGAAGTGTGCACGAAGCTCTGTGAGATTGTGTTGATGTTGTTGTTCTTCCTCGAGGAATGCGCAGAGTCGAGTCTAGGACAGAAGAACACCCCTCAAGAACACGAGACCCTCCGCCGGACAAAACACACGGAACATCCAAGGGTACCCTCCCAGGAGGTGCACAAGAACATCCAACAACCACGAAGAGCATCGGGGTACCCTCCCCGAACCGACCTCGATCTCACACCCCGGTCCGACCGTACGTAAGTGAAGGAGGCGGAGCAAAAGGGGGAGCCGCATCAGCAGGAGAAGCGTGGGCACGAGCAGAGTGAGGCGGGAGAGGAGACTGACGAGAAGGGGTGTGGGAAGGGGACGACGCGGAGGAGGGACCCTTCGCTCCCGCCTCGACCCCCGCCCCTGTGCGCATCCCCCTCGTGTCATGCTTCCCCGCTGTACTGGTTCTCTTATCCCTCCTTGTCGCTTGCACCCCTTGTCCCCCCCCCCCCTATTGCCTAGATTCCTCCCTGTCCTCCTCCTCCTCCTCCTCCTCCGACCCAGGTGCGATCGCAGAGTAAGTCTTCCGTCGAAAGAACCCTGAACGCCTGCGTTCGCGTACGCTGCTCCGGGCTGCTGGCGACGGCGTCCTGGACCAACAACGGAAGATACCGAATAACGAACTAGGAGAGAGAGAGAGAGAGAGAGAGAGAAAAAAAAAAAAATAACCGAAAGTTTTGCGCGCGCGACCTAACCTGCCCTGCGGAACATGGCATTCGAGCTGGCCCTGGCCCAGAAACCAACAACAGTGTCACCGCACCGTTGGCACGCTATGGTGTTCTCGTGTGCCCGTTAGCTGTGGGGTAAGGCTTCTGGAAATGTCTCTACGAGTGGCCCCGCCCACTCGACGCGCGTTCCAATCGAAAACCTTCCCTCACTAGCTGTGCTCTCCAGCGCTTTCGGCCGAAAGATCACTCGAAGACGGCAGGGGAGAGGAGGGTACGGGGAATCGCCAGGGCCTTCTAGGAGCCCCCGGATCCCGTACAACACGGTCTACAGCCACCCTCCTTCGTCTCCCCTCCTTGCGCACCATCCTGATTCTTCCCCCCCAACAGGAACAAGGGAGGGAGAGCCCACCCGCGAGAGGGGCGAACCGACACGCCCCCTCCATGAGGGTTGGAGCGAAAACGAAGCGCCGTGCGAATGTGCAATATCTGAGTTGCTGGGCAGTCCGAGGAGAGAGGAGGGGGGAAGACCGGCGTAAACAAGGTAAGATAGTTAGAAGGGGGAAAGGCAGTGGGGAGGGGGAGGGGGAGGATAGAGGAGGAGGAGGAGGAGGAGGAGGAGGCGGCGATGGCGATACATCCATCCACTGGTCAATGCAAACATGCAATATGCAAAAAACCGACGGGTGACGTGGGATCGCAGGATGAGCAGGAGGAGGAGGAGGAGCAGGAGGACAAGTGTAAACCCAAGAGTCATCATCGATGTTTGAATCAACCCTCCCTCCAAGCTCCCTCTTCATAGGCCCCTACACCTGTTTGTTCATTTATTCAGGCAACTGCGTTGGAAGACAGCCGTTTGAAGACCCAAAAGCATGCCAAAACGTTGCTCTCTAGATTCTAACGCCACGGATCAACCTGATGTTGCGTCGTGGCGATCCTGAATCGTGCCAGAACGCCATTCCTGGGACTTCAACACAGCGAATCAACATTACTAATGTGCCAGCAAAATCCTGAATCCTTTCAAAGCGCCATGTCTGGCAAATTGACGATGGGAACCCGTGAAACCCTTGCGAATGTTGTAAAAGATGCGCGCAACGTTAAGGCGTGAGCCACATGTTGATAAGAAACCGCCCTCAATCCGTGAAACTCTTACACATGCTTAAAGAGAGAGTGCGACGCGCTAAGGCGAGAGCCACATTTTGAAAACAACCCGTCCTCAATCCGTGAAACTCTTGCAAAGTCTTTAAACACGAATGTGCGCCGCGCTGAGGCGAAAACCTCATTTAAGAAACGACCCGCCCTCAATCCGTCGAACTCCTGCAAATATCTAAAACAACTGTGCACCGCGCTACGGCGAGAGCCTCATTTTGTAAACGACCCGCCCGCCCTCAATCCGTGAAGCGCTCGTTTAAGCTTCAGACGCATAAGTGATGATGAAGTATCAGGCGAAACGCCCAGCCCGACCTAAAAACTGGCTTCGAGGTGCGACGGGGAGAAATCATTTATAAGGAAGAAAAGGGATGGAGGAGGAGGAGGAGGAGGAGGAGGAGGAGGAGAAAGAAGGACAGGAGGAGAGAGGAGGAGACAGAAGGAGAAGAATCGTTCCCCTGGCGGCCGAACGGGACAGCTCCCCGGCTCCCCAGGAAGCCTTCGGCGAGGCGCAGGGGATGTAACACGCCCGCTGGTACCTCAAGAAGTTTACAAAAGGCCAACAGGTCTCAAGAAACCTGGCAACGCCTGTACCAGGGATGCCGACGGAGGGATTTTGGGGCAAAGGCGGACACACTATAATCTGCGGCGTATAGCCGGTCTCGGCCCCGCCGCTAGACACATTCCTAGATGTACGGTCGCCCGCGACGACGGAGAAGCCATCAAATCACGTGGCTGCTGGATACCACCCTTTCCGTACACCCTGGGCTTTTTAGAAGCACTCCTGTCTTCCAGTGAGCAGCCACGAACCCCGAGGTTCAAATCCCACCAGGGCAACGGACTCGAGATGTTAGATGCAGGTCCCCGCTCGAACCCGGGCGAGAAGGGGAGGAAGATGGGGAGAACGGCCGCACGAGGACGGCGGATGAGCAGCAGGAAATGGAGGAGCGGGACACGAGGCGGAGGAGGACGAAGATGATGATGAGGACGAGCAGGAGGAAGGGACTGATCAAGCGGGGATGAAGAAGGAGGAGGTGGACAGACCCAGAGGAGAGAGCGCGCCGAGTTCGGGGACTGGGCAGGGCAGCGCAGCAGGAAAGGCAGCGATACGCAGCCCCGGATGGCGGCAGCGACTGAGAGCCAAGAGAGCTTACGACCCAGAGCACCTCTAAAGAAGGAGCCCCTCGCGGCCAGCACCATGACGCAGGGCCCGAGCGAGACGCTCACAAGACGAATAGCGAGAACACCTGCTGTATGATACCCCCAACGCTCGCAGCATCATCAGAGTACCGTGAAGGATGTGAGGTAATGATGGCCAGGGGTGGGACCTTCGGGTATAACAGTTTGTCGGGCACGCGGAGGGCGAGGAGAGGACGAGTAGGGCGAGGAAGAGGACGGGACGGATCAGGAGGAGAAGGGAGGATGAGGAGGATGAGGAGGAGGAGGAGCAATAGCAACACTTCAATGTGAGTTGTCTTATACATGTAACAGAACTATAGAGTAACCTGGGGTGAGAGAGGAGGGAGAGGTGAAGAGAGGAGGGAGGAAGGGTGGGAGGCAGGGAGAAGGAGGAATGAGAAAGGAGGGAGTGATAACAAGAGAGAAGGAGGAATCATGACCACGGGAGTAAGGAATAGTGCGGAGTGGGGCTGAGGACAATAATTTTCGGGGCCTGTGCCGCTTGAGGAAGACACGCAATGTCCCAGAGGGTGTTCGTAGGGTCAGCTATCCTCTAGGGTGTTCTCAGCTGCGGAGGAGAAGAAGTAATTACTGGTATCGCGACGACTGTCTTCATAAAGCTCTGCCCAAAAAACTGGCTCGGAGGCTGGCGGAGAGAAGGGGAGCCGACGATGCGAAGATCACTCTGTTTACTTCAGCCTCCCCCTCCTCATGCGAAGTCGAACTATATGTCCCCTGTCTCCTGGGTGCAAGAAGCGCGGACAACAAGCTGGTCTACTCCCTCCTTTTCCCCCTGTTCCTCCTAACTCCATATTATTCGTATCCTCCTCTTCCTCCTCTTCCTCCTCCTCCTCCTCCTCCTCCTCCTCCTCCTCCTCTACCTCGTCCTCCACCTCCTCCTCCTCCCTCCTCGTACGGTTGGGAACTGATGCTTAGCGTGTCGCGCCGCCAATTCTGGCCCGACACCCTTCGGCGCGACGCGACACGCCATCCACGTCCCAGCCCCAAGGCGTAAACGTTCCGCGCATGTCCGAGACTCCCGTCCCGCGGAGCGGAGCGACACGCTATCAGCTTGCAGGGCATAGCGTGTCGCTGTGGCCGCCGCCGCGTCACGCTAAGCAAACAAAAACCCGACCATACTTGCCACATGCATTCGAGCAATAGGGGCAACGAACAGGCCGCATCTGGCGCGACCCGAAGTAGTGGCAGTCGAGCACCTGCTGGCCAGGGGGCAGCGTCATCACCTCAGACGGCCCCCTCTTTGTCTCACCAGGTCTAGCGCGTACCAACAGTGCCCCATGTAAGGCGAAGCCAGGGCAGAGCCGATATCGGACTGGGACAGATCGGGGATCCCTGAGATCCAGCGGCTCTGGAGGATGATCGGGCGCCGCGGCAGTTCCAGAGCGCTCCAGAGCGCTCTGAGAGCGTTCTGGAACGCTCTGGAGCGAGTGGCCCTACTCCCTGCCTCCCCCTTAGAAAAGCAATGCACATGTTGCAGGTCGTGTCCAAGGATCGTCTGGGGGCACCTTCTGGGGGCACTTCTTCCTCGCGGGTCCAATCCGGATGGTCCTGGGGCTCCACGGCGGCCCCCGGAGACCAACAACGACGAGAAACCGAAGGCGGCGAAAGCAAACACATCGACGATGCAAGTTGCAATACGTCTCCGGGGCAGGGCAGCCTCGCCCGACAGTGCCCCGTGTTCCGCCGTGCTCGTGCCAGCCCCGCTGAAGGCGATCCGCTACGCCGCTACACCAAAGCGCGTCGCGGGAAAGCTGGCAGCGGCTGCGTGTGCCCATCACCTCGGGCGGCCTCTCGGGGGAGAGCCGAGCGCGAGGAGGGGGGGGGGGCAAGACGATCATGACGTCAGGATGCTATGAATTCGGGGGATGCGCTCCAAGAGTCCCGCGTTCTGAACTAGCCAGCGGCCCTCCCTTCTCCAGCCCGCGCCAGGACAACAGGATGTCGGGAGCAACCCTGGCAGGCACCACTCCCACACTTCTTGATCCTCTGAGCCAGGGGGGAGGGGGGGGGGGACAGCGCGGGGTCGGCAGGAGGGGGAGACATACGCTGAGGAAGTCCAGGCCACCCCGCCACCCACCCTGGGCGCGCGCGCGCGCTGGAACCATCACCCACGCGTTCCACCATCACAAGCAACGCGCGGGGCAGCCCAGTCATATCTTGCCTCCCTGGGCGATCCCCCCTCTCACTGGGAAGGGCCGGCTGCAGCCGAGGCTACGATCATGCAGCGATCGGCCTAAGTAGAGGAACGAAAAACATGAACCTTCGGAGCTCCGCGAGGATTTCTTGAATCGGCGCCGCCGGACCCCCCTCCCCGGCGTGCGGGGCGCGCCTGGGGCAGCGCCAGAGGCGCCGCCAGGGGGGCCCGCATCAGGAGGCGGTCTCTCCATCATCCGGGGGACTTCGAGGTGGAGTAGGGACTGGGGTGTGGTTAGAGGAAAGTCGATTCCATAGAAAAACAAAAACGCCATAAACATACACATTGAAACTCCGCGTGGATTTCTTGGATCGGCGCCGCACACCCCTGGCGGCGCCTCCTGTCGTCTCCGCCGCCGTTGTGCCCTCTCCTCCGACATCGCAACTTCTTCCTCCTCCGACATCCTCTTTCCGACCCCTGCCCCCTGGCCTGGCTTCTCACCCTGAGCCGCAATCTTGACGGCAGCACCAGAACCAAGGAACTGCCCCAGGCGGTCGAAAAGATACGTGAAAAAACGCCCGCCACGATTCGTGATGCTGCACGCCCCGCGCGTCGCCGCCCCCGTCGCCGTCCGCCGTCGCCGCCACCGTCCGATTTGCCGCCGCCAGCGCCACTGATTCCATAGCCGTCGCCGCCACCGCTGCCGTCCGCGCCGCCGCCGCGCCGTGTGCGCTGTGCGCGCTCGCGCGCGGTGACTGCGTCGGCCGCGACAGCGATGACGCGCACGCCGCTGTCGCCGTCGTCGCCGTTGCCGCCACTGCCGTCCGCGCCGCCGCCATGCGCGCCATCCCAGACCCCCGACGTCATGATTTTTCCACAACGTCGAGCCCCAGAGGTCTTGACCCATTCCCGAGGACCGCCTCTCCATCCTAAAAAGGTTGGGCCCAGCGAGGGCCCCCGAAGGCCGAGGATTAACAGAAACACCTCCAGCCGCGTCTTTTGGAGGCGACGCGAGGGGGCCTGGGTCGCGGCCGCAGCCTGCGCAGCCTCAACGCGCGCCGCGCACAGCGCAGCGCCGCGGAGTGCCGCGCAGCGCTGCGCGGCGCCGCGCAGCGCACCCGCGGCGGCGCGGTGGCCGCGGCGGCCGGGGCGGGGGCCCCCCGAGCGCGGCGCCGTGTGCCGGTGGAACGCCAGGCCCGCGCCGCCCTCCGCAGGCGCGAGGCGCCACGCCTCGCCGTGCTGACTGCTGCCCTGCATGCTGCGCCCTCGCGAAGTTCTGCACAACATCGGCGGCGAGCCCAGGGGGGCAGGTGAGAGCGGGCAGGCCTTCGCAAAAGGCGCCGGCGGCGGGGCTTCCCAGAAATGTGCCATGTCTTCCTGGAAGGTTTCGAGGACTTCTCGGAAGGAAAGTCCGAGGCGCTCCGAGACTTCTGAGAAGGCCCGCCCCCTCCCACTGCCCCCCTGGGCTCGCCGCAGACAACAAGGCTAGATCTGTCCTCCGAACCTGACAACGCCTGCAGTCTGCTCGCAACAGCCTGAAACGGAGAACGCAGGAACCGGCGACCTCCCCGAATCGCCCCGAGATCAAAGAGATGTGTTACCTCAACAACCCTTGTTGGGCCCGGTTTGGTCCGTCTTCAAAACATTGCTTCTTGATGACGAGATCCCACAAAACGGTTCACCGATACTGTCAAAAAGAAACGGCTCACTGGAACAGCCTGGACACAAAACAGTTCGGATATGTTCTTGATGGTGCTGCTGCGACTGCTGTTGTCGTTGCTGTTGCTGTTTTTGCTGTTTTGGCTGTTGAACCTCAAAAGTACAGAATAGCTGTTGTTCATTCCCCCACCGGTGCACATTGAGTTGGTTTACTTGAGGTGCCCACCTCGGGGCCCGAACCCTGTATTAATCAGGTAAACTGTTTATGCTAAAACTCCGCTGCTAGCCGCCATTGTTAGCCCGAACAACACTAGCAACAACAACAACATCAACAACTACAACAAACATTTCCTCACTGCTCGCTCTTATCTGCTCGCGTGTCACTCAACGTATATTCCGAACCCTCGGTGCCCGGACTCTTCGTCTTCGGTCGTACCCCCTTTCTGGGTAGATCTTTCTTCCCTGTAACGTGTATGTCGTGCAGCTCCTGAGGCAGGGGAAGAGAGGACCGATGGAAGGAAGGGACAAGGGGCAGGAGGGGTGCTGAAGCGTCCGTCCTGCATGAATCGCGAGGAGGTCTCGACCGATAGCGGGACTCCCAAGTAAATCATAAGAAAAGCCAAACCGAAAGTGTGATTCCTGAGTGTCGAGGACACGGCGTATAAATTGCGAAGACGCTCCATCTGAGAGCGCGATTCCTGGATAAAGTGTGATGAAGTCCCGCGCCAGAGCGCGATTCTGGAATCCATGCTGAGGAAAGGTCCGGCGGGAGCCGTCGTTGTTGTAAACAGGGGGCCAAGGGCTCAGTTTGAGCAGGATGTCTCCCCCTGGAAGGCAACTAAAAGAAACACAACGAGACAGCCGTGACAGAAACACACATCGCACACAAAAACTGACTTGCACAAGCAAATACGATACAACAAACATTGTACCTAAAAACACGGTCGTTGGCACGTGGACTCCACGCCCTCCCTGGACCTCCCCAAACACCCTTACTACACTCAAGATGGCACAGTCCTAAGCTCAAGATGAAGCGGCCAAGCGAGACTCAACTAAGTGCAACGCAAAACAATTGAACTTCAGGAGAAACTGTAATGCAAACCGACGTGGTTATGTTCATCAGCGTTGGGTATTTGGCACAACGCCCTTTCGAAATCTCTCCGAACGACACACGGCTCACACGCGGGTTGAGAAATCCGAAGCTTAAGCTGAAACAAAGATGCGGAGAGCAAACACCTCTGCGACGCAAGGGTAACAGTGCAACAGTGCTGAACCCAGTAAAACGCACAAACAAATACAACGCAAGCAACACCGCAATGCAACAAGAAAGTTGACACTGTGATCTACAAACGCTTGAGCGTCAGCTGAAGGCGATTGAAATGTGATTGCTTGACATTCCGCCATCGTCTCTCATCTTCTCTCCTCTCATCTCTCGTCACCTCTCTTCTCTCCTCATCCCCCCCTCCCTGACTCCTCCCCCCTTCCTTCCTTCCCTTCCCCCCTCCCGAAAGGCTGGCTGAAGACGGCAGGTCCTGGACATCCGTGCCCTCTTGCTGGAACGACAGGAGGCGCCACTCGTCCCCAGCGCCACCCTGAGGCGGGAGGGCCCGCACCTGGCCGGGGGGGGAGGGGCGCGCGCGAGGGGGACGGCGAGGTGAGAAGAGAGCAAACGCGAACGAGCTGGTCGCTTCCAACGCATTTGTCCTGCCCGGGCATGCTTTCCAGAAGCTGCGCCTCGCCGAGAGCGTTCGGGGGGGGCCCCGATCGTCCCGAACGGCCACCGGAGACCCGAGCTATGACCCGAAAACTTGACGATGAGGATCACTGGGGGAGGGAAGAGAAGTCCCACTTGTCGTCAGTGTCGTCGTCCACCTCCTCCTCCTCCTCCTCCTCCTCCTCCTCCTCCTGCTTTTCCTTTCTTCTTTTCCTCCTCCTTCTCCTCCTCTTCAATCGTTGTTCGTCTCCTCCTCGTCCTCTTCCTCTCCCCCCGCCTACCTGCCCAACCGCACTCCTCCACCACCCTCTGCCCTCCTTCGGTCACGCGCGGGTGGGGAGGGGGTAGGCGGTGAGTAGAGAGCGGGGGGAGGAGTGAGGGAGCAGAGAGACCTTTGATGGTTTCCAATACCTTCGGGGTGATCCTGAATGGTCCTTGGGAGTTTAAAATACTTGTTGCACGGTTCCAGAGGGAGGCGAGAGGATGGCTCAACCCTTCCATTCTTCTCCTCCTCCAACGGGGGGGATCCTGGCGCCCTTTTGTTGCCTTTTGGAGCCATGGTGGAACCATCTGCGGACATCCTTTGGGCTCGCACGGGGCAACCGTGGAAGTTTCCTGAGACATAGCGGAGCTGCTGTGGGCGTTCTCGTGGGCACGCATGACGCCGTCTTGAGGCTGTCTGGGGCCGTCTTTGAGCTCTTCTGGAACATCTTCGGCCCCCTCCGGGTACTATTAGGTCGGGCATGTCCCCCTACAGGGGGATTTTGGACGAAAAATTCAAAATAGTCATACATACCCCCAAATGGTCTTTTGACTACTTTTGAATATTCCTCCTGTAGAGGGACAGGCCCGACTTAAGGGTGATATTGCAGCACTCTGAAACATCCTCGGGCCCTCTCGGGGCCCTCCCGGTGCGCCCCGTGGCTCCTCGGAGGCCCTCCAAGAGCCGGGTGGCATAGAAGAGGTGAAGCCCAAGAAAACAGAAGAACGCCTCAAGGACTTTCATTGCTTTCTCATTGGTTCGGGGCGATCTGGGGGTCCTGCTGGGAGGGACCTCTCCTACAGTGCGGACGCGGCCGCAAGAGACCCTGGCAAGGAAAGCAGCCCTGCAAAAAAAACTCGCGCGAGATGCACTTCTGGGGGAAGCCCAGCGCACCCTGGACGCAACAGCTTCTCCAGCGGTCGCGGGAACTCACCGCGCACCGCGAGGAGCGAAGAAACCTTGGGTACCCTGGCGAAGAGCACTTCGTTGCTTGATACGAGTCCCCACTGTAGGGTTATCTTTGGCCGTCGCGGCCCCTCCTGGAAGCCGCGCGGGGCTGCCCTCACGAAGCCAGTGCCAAACGCGACGAACAACGACACGAGGCGTTTAAAACAACAGCGGAACACGAGACGACAAAAACACGAGCGACTACACCGACCGACCGACTTGGAATGCCGATCGGTCGCCACCGACCTCGACCGAACAGCTGTGGTATCAAATGACCCGGGCGGGGGGCCACCCAAATCGTTTCGAAGTGGATCGGGCCGGAGGATCGCACCTCGTCGCCATTGAAATCGCCGACGTCGGCGTGGAGAACATCTCCGACCCCACCTGGTTTGACCCCTCTTGTGCGGCCTGTAGGCTCACATAGTTAGAGGCGGACAGGGCACACAAATAAATATGCACAAGACATCGGATTCCCTATGTTTCTACATGTCTTATGGATGCTCGTCCTCCCCCCCACGTCCAACATTGTCCCATGTGTTCGTGGAAATCGACGGTGACTCTTGTCCCTTTCTTCTCCCTCCTGACAAAAGGTCCCGTGCGCTTGGCCCTCCCCAGGCCTAGTTTCAAGTCGGGCATGTCCCCCCACAGGGGGATTTTGGGCGAAATTTTTTTAAATACTAAACATGCGCTAAAAATGCTCAAACGTACTCCAAAAAAAGCCCCCCGGCATTTTCGGCCTGTTTTTGGATATTCCCCCTGTAGAGGGACAGGCCCGACTTACGGTCAATCCAGGGAGGAAGGATGCGCGATGAGGATGCAAGGGCCTTGGACAACCAACTCGAAGCTCTTCGAGCGGGGCGGGGCCAAGGAACGTGGCGAAGGATGGACCGAGGGGGCCAGGCTGCCCTTGGGAAGGCTGCCCATCCTTACTGTGCGGGTTGACTGTAAGCCTGGCTACCCTGCACCCCGGGCTCCGCCCCGGGCTCCGCCCGCTCCGCCTTCCCGTGCCCTGTCGCCTTAATGAAAGCTGTGCGTAGCGCCCGCCTAGCTTTTCGCGGAAGAGGTTCGCTCTCGCCACGCCGACCCAAAAAACTGCAAGCCTGGCTTCTTCGCGTCTGGCCACGGCGAGCCTCGGCCGCGAACCGGCTCCCCGAAACCTCGGCCCGAGGCCCCTCCCGACCCCCCCGGTGGGCCCTCCGTCGCCGCTTCGCCCACAGGTGAGCGACGAAACAAACATCTGGTCTTACGCTCATGTTGCTCCCGTCGTACTTAGGGACCACGTCCCAGAAATAATCTCGAGCACCCGGAAAAGTGTCGAAAGAGAGTCGAAACAGTGTCGAACGAGTGTCTCCCAGGGCCCGACACGTGAACACCCTCGAGTTCCGGTGTTTTTTTTATTTCAGGTGTTCGAAATTCTATCTGGTGATCAAGGCAAAAACAGGTTGGAACATCACAAGTCTTACGCGAGATGGCACGGCGACCTTGCGCGGTGGCTCACGCGGGCCGCCGGCGCGGCACGCTCCATTGGAGACGAGGGCGCTCACGCGCGACCTTACGCGGGCAGCTTACGCACGAATGTCGGCGCAAACGACCCCATTTTTCGCGTCGCTCAGATGTGGAAACATGCACCTGGTACCATCGCCCCCCCTCCCCCTCCCACCCGTGCGCAAACAAACCGCCTCACGTGAGTCACGACACAACCTCGCACCCCTGAGCGCTGCCAAAGATTCACAGCTCGCCCCAATCAGTGCTGCCAAACGCACCTGACGCAACGATCCTGAGCCCCCTGGGGGTCCAGCGGGTCGCCCCCTGGAATCCACACTGGACCCCCGCTGGGTGCTGCCAGACACACACTTTCCGCCGCTCCTCTGTGCCACTACGGGGTCCAGCGGGGTGCCCCCTGCACAGATCCAGACTGGACCTGGCCACTTTATGTGCTACCCGATAGGGAAAGGTGGCCGGTGCCCTGCTCACTTTGGGACCAACGGCGCGGGTGATGCTCCTCTGTCGGCGATGAAGACGACGAGGAGGATGAAGAGGATGCCGAAGTGAAGCCAGAGGAGGAGGAGGAGGAGGACGACGACGACGACGAGGAGGAAGAGGAGCGGAGGATGAAGTCGAGGAGAAGGAGGAGACTTTGTCGTCGTAGACCTCGTCACTTCTCCCTCCTCCGTTGCCATCCTCCCCTGCCTTCTCATCATGATCATCCTTCCCTCATCATTTTCATCGCCCTCGTTCTCTCCACAGCAAGCGGCAAGCGGACAGGCATGGCCCCAAAGGGCATGGCGCACGGGCAAAATTAGCCACACGTGGTGGGCCGTGGATTGGCCATGGATATCACTGCCGCCCTCATCGGATAAGGAATCCCCGAGGGCCTGAAGCTTCCTGGGCACACCGCTTAACAACGCCCCCACCGTACTGGTCTTTGATACCTTCTCTGCCCTCCCTTCTATCTTGCTTGCTCCCTCATATCTCGAGACCATCACGTTCCACTGCTCGCAACGTTTCTGATCGCAACTCGCCTGGATCCGCCAAGGGGGACTCACGATCCTTACGCCGAGGCAAAACTCTCCTTTCTGTTGGGGCGTCTGCGAGCAGGCACTCTGCGAGTAAGGGGACGGCGCTCGGTGAGCCTTGCGCTCTCCGCCCCCCTCTCCCCCCTATGGCGCGCGCTCATCGGAGCGGCGCCGCGCAGGGGTCGGGGCGATGCCCCGCCGCCGCGAGGGTTGCCAGGCGTGGGCCGCAGGGTCCTCCTCCTCATCCTCCTCCTCCTCCTCCTCCCATTCCTCCTCCTCCTCCTCCTCCTCCTCCGCGAGAAGTTTGAGGTCAAATCTGAATCCGCGCAGGGAATCATTCCACTGGACCCCCCAGCGGCCCTCGAAAGTAGCGACGGCTCGCGGATTGCAGCCCCCCTATGGAGCCCCAAGTCAGGACGGCGAAATAGGACGGCGAGGCAGGATGCCAAGTAGCCAGAAGGTAGGAGGAGAAAGGAGCAGGGAGGCGGGAGGAGGAGTTGCGACCGCGAAATCTATTCGAGACGAAGACCCAACGCAGGAGGGTCGGGAAAGTAACGACAGAGAGGGCGGGGGGGAGGGAGGGAGAAAGAGAGAGAGAGAGAGATAGAGGAGGGATGGAGAACGATAGATCTGACATTGGATGGGGTTGCCAGGGAGGCAACACAGCTGCTCCTGCTGCCCCTCCCGCCGCCCATTATGCTCTGTAACCGCTCCTGCTGCTCCCCCGCGCCTGCCTCGCCTGGCCTCCCCGTCCACGGTACCCGTCTCAGCTCCTCGCCTTCCTCCACTGCTGGTGCGGCACCATGGAGCAAGATGCACCCTTGGCCTTGGAAGTCTTGGAGGCGTTGACGAGCTCGGTTCGTGCCAACACCGTGAGGAGGCAGAGATCCCAGCAAACTGCGGGCCCTCTTTCTTCTGCGCTCGCTGTCGCTCCGACAGGCGCCGTCGAGGGACTGTTCGATCGCTGGGCGATTGGCGGCTTGAGGGCATGGACGAGCAGAGTGCCGAGGCATGAGCAGCACAGGAAGCAGATGTCGTACACGCGATCCAACTTCATGCAAAGAACGCAGAATTCGCAAAGAGATGCCAAGTAGTTCAATGAAGACAAAGGTGCGTATGCCAAGGATGCCACGGAGGCCTGGCGAGGAGAAATAGAGAAAGAGCGGGAGCGAGAGAGAGAGAGAGAGAGCGAGAGACAGTGTGAGTTTGAGGGAGAGAGAGAGAGAGAGAGAGAACAAACGAGAGAGAGAGAGAGAGAGGCAGAGAGAACTATCGAAAGAGAGAGAGAGAGAGAACGCGAACCAAACAAAGAAACAAACACCATTGTTTCTTGCGGTGGTCAACTCATGGGAGCCTCCCATGCTATCTCGCTGGCCCTCGTGAATCGACGATAACCGACGCTAGTCGACACTGGTCGACACTAATCGACGATACATTGACGCTCGTCAGCGCTAAATCGGCGCTTTCCCAGCGATTACCAGACGCTAGCGAACGCCAGTACTTCCTAAACGCCCTCCACCTCCTCCGACTCCTCGTCTTCATCGCAAGAAGAAATCTTCGAGGATGCCTTGAGATGCTGGAGGCTCTTGTTCCCTCAAGTTCGTCCCATCAGCTGCGCCTCGCCCCAGGGAGCCCAGTCGCCCCAAAGCCATGACTTCTAAGGGAGGAGGACTCCCACATGCCGTCGGACAGTGAGGACAGCAAAGAGAACGCAACAGGCGTGTTCTCACGGATCGATCCTGGCCTGAGAAGCCCCGCAGACGTTTTGGGCAGGGAGTCCCGATCGTGAATTCTTGCTGCTGAAGCTTCCAAGCGCTTTGACGTTGGTTGGATACATAAAAAGACGAACAACCGACCTAATCATAAATATCTGACGCTCCGCGCGGATTTCTTAAATCCGCGCCAGAAGCGCCCTCCCTGGCGCGCGCCAGTGGCGGCGCCGCAGGCGCCACCGGGGGGGCCCAAGGCGGAGCCAAGACATCCGCGCGCAGCGCCAAAAATTCATGTTCATGGCGTTTTTCTCTTTCGAGTACTCAGCGGTGGACAAACCTCCCTGTAGCAAACCTCCCCTTAATGAAAGCGGCCTGGGACCGAAACCGACGGACCTGGACCCGCAAAAATGACGGCCGCGACGCCCTCTCGCGAACCGAAAACGGCCAATTCCTGAATCGACATGTCAGGGCAGGAGGTCGATCCACCTCCGAAGTACAGCAGCCTGGACGCGAGTTCCGCTCGCGCCGCCCGGTGGTCAGCACGCGCCAGGCCTACCGCAGGGCGCGCTCTCGCGCCAGAGTTTCGTGGCGAGCCCAGCCGCGGCAGCGAGGAGCCTCAAGCCTCGAGCCTCGACGGCCCCCCTCCCCCGACAAAGCAGGTATTCCGTGACGACGGCTCCTGGCCTACAGTCAACCCGTATGATAAGGATGCGCGGTAAGGACGCCAGGGCCTTGGAGTGCCACGTTAACCTTTTTCGAACGGGGTTGGCCAGCCAAAGCGGCCAGGGATGGACCGAGGAGGCAAGGATGCAAGGGTACCCTTGGGAAGGTTGCCCATCCTTACTATGCGGGTTGACTGTAGTTGCCCCGATACGCATCCCGCAACACGCAGCGTGTTGACACGGAACCCAACACCTACACTGAAAAAGTACGCTTGGCGCGACACGTTGCCAACACGAGGCCCAACACGTTGAGCCAACACGCAGCGTGTCAACACGGACATGTTTGGACACGGCACGTATTGCGTTTCAAAACGGGCGTATCAGGGCAGCTGGGGATCCTGGGGATCTCGACCCCTTCCGCAGGGCTGGTTCTTCAACCACTGGTCGGCAGCCCTGGCCTGGACACGGCCTCCAGCGGCTGGAAAAATTTGAAAAACCGACGCCCCTACTTTCTGCGACGCCCAAATCTGAGGATCGACCTCCTCTTCCTCCTAGCTCCTAGCTCCTAGCTCCTCGCTCCTCCCTCCTCCCTCCTCGCTCCTCGCTCCTCGCTCCTCGCTGCTGCTACTCCTCCTCCTTTTCCTCTACGACCCTCCTGAGCACGAGGGGGGCGCCCCCTCGGCAAATTGCCACCTCCCCCCCCGCCCACGATCCTGGTCGGGCTCCTCTGGCTCGATCGACAACGACGACAACGACGACGACGCTGGGGCAAAAGGCTGTCCTAGCTGCTCCTTCTTGTCGCGCCCGCGCGTGCTCGCCAGCAGCAGGGGGCGGCCGCAAGCGACCGCGCTGAACAGTTGCGTCGGCCGGTCTGTCACCTCGCTGGGACCGTTGGAGCTGGGTTCCCTTTGATGTTTGTCAGACTCTGGTGATGCCAAACATGAGAATGCGTACGTACGGTGGGCATGTGGGGTCGCCGGGCGCGCGTAAGAAGTGTACGTCGGAATGCTATACATGTGTTTATCAGAATCAGGGGGGCGAACGGACATTCACTTTCCCTGGGCGCGTGGCTGAAGTGATATTGTTCGGTGCGGATTGTTGTTGCTGTTTGTTTTTGTTTGTTGTTTGTTGTTTGCTGTCGTCGTCCCCCCCGTGACCCGGCCCGCGACCCACCCGGAACCAAACCGCGACCCACCCGCTACCCACCTGGGATCCAACCGCGACCCACCCCGCGACCCACCCGCAACCCACCCCGCGACCCGCCCGCGACCCACCCACGTCCCAGCAGCGATCAACCCGCGACCCACCCGCCACCCACCCGCAACCAATCCGCGACCAACCCGCGACCCACCCGCGACCCACCCGCGACCAATCCGCGACCAGGCCTGCGACCCATCCGCGACCAGGCCTGCGACCCACCCGCCACACACCCGCGACCCACCCTTGACCCACCTGCGACCCAACCCTGGGCCCACCCACATTGCTTTAACGAGCAAAATCGGCGCCTGCGGCGGGATCGTTGGATATGTTTTTTTACACAGCTCGAAGGCGGACGGATCATTCCCTTTGGGGATCATCGGTTAAAATTAGAACAGCGCAGAGAAGATCAGCATGGCAGCTGCGATAGGATGCCACGCACACAGGTCGAAGTGCCGAGGAGGACGAGGATAACGAGGAGGGGCGCGGTGCCACATCGCTGAGCAGTGCCGCAACACCTGGGCGCTGGCCTCCCCGCCGGCAGTCACGCAGCTTGCCGCCAACTGCCCTCAACGTGCGTTGATACGTTCTCTGGTTGCTCGTGCTGCCTGGGGAAGCTCACGAGCTCGAGGAGTCAACGACTGCGGCTGCGGGATCTCCAGACGAAGACGAAATCGACGACTGCTTCTTCTTCTCCTTCTTCTTCCCTCTCTTCTTGTCCCTGCTCTTTTTCTCTTTTTTCTTGACGGGCTTCTTGCTTTTTTTCTCCGACTTCTTGCCCTTTCGTCGCTTCGTGCTCGTCTCGTCTTGCCCTGCTGGCTCTGGCATAAGCACTCGCTTATGTGCCAACGCGCCGCGGCTCAATTCGTTCAACCTGCCCATGCCAAAAGTACTCGGATCCAAAGCTGGCATGCATGCTTTGCGGGCACCGCTCGCCCGCATCGCGGCCACTGCAGGATGCACACCGGCGTCAATATTTGCGGGCGGTGGTGGGCGATTGTCTACTATAAGGCCTCCGCCAGGAGGTGGTCCGTCGGTCTGCTTCATACCAACTCTGCCAACCATGGCTTCCATGCCTCCTGCCGGTCTGCTTCCGGACATGGCTAATGACCTGGGATCATCAGAAACAGATGGGCGATGCGGCTTCGAACCTCGACCTCAAGCCGGAGCGGCTTGAGCCAAAATGGCTACGGACGGGATCGTGGGATAATTTGAAGAATGTTTTGGCGCCTGCGGCGGGCTTCTTCAGAGCCTCGCAGACTGCCGACATCCCCGCCGTCCCCTCGCTCTTATCCGCATCTGAGGGCTGCTACGTATACATACGCATACTTTTGATCATGCCTAAGTGAGCGAGGTGGTGGTGTCTTGAGAAGAGTCCAGAAGAACCGAACCGAAATCTGAGGATCGACCTTCGATGATCAAGAAAATAAACGAAAGGAAACCCATGCTGGAGTCCGAAGCTGGACCGAAATCCGAGGATCGACCTTCGATGACCAAAATCTGAAGCAATCTTCGGCGCGCCTGGGCTTCTGGGGGGCCTCCTGTCGCCGCCGCCGGATCCACCTCGAGCTTCTCGCCAGGACGTATCCCAGAATGCGTCGAGGGGGCGTACCGCGAGATTCTTGCCAGGACGCATGTCCCAACATCTGTTGCACGGGATTCTTGCGACAGCGCGCGCGCAGGGGCGTTCGAATGATTTCGGCACGCGCGCGCGGGGGGTACCTTTTCCTCACATGTGATGAGCATGTGGGAAATAAGCATGTGGATTCCTACGGAGTTCGAAAGAGCTCGGGCGAAGGCTATTTGAAAGTTTTGTTGGGAAGCCACGGTTCGTACATGTTTCGGGAAATTCGTGTTTTTGGAATCATTCCCAAAACGAGAATTCTTGGCAGATCTCGGGATGCGCGCGCGACGACGCGCGTGCGCACTTCGCCACATTTGTTGCTGTGAGCTCCTGAAAGGAAATATTTGTGGGGGCGATGCGGGCCTGACTGGGATGGAATACGTTGGTGGTTCAACTGGCCGATGGCGCAGAATCGCATGTAAATTGCTAACTAATGGCCACGGGGAGCTGGTAATCCTTGAGGGGTGGTGGTGGGGGGTAAATCCTCATTGCTTCTTAGAAAGGAGAATAGACGTTGCGCAAGGTATGTGGTGCAAGACTCGCACATACACAGTGATGCGCCTATAGTTATATCTCTATATACATATATGCAGGTATATGTGAATAAACATACATTTGGTACATATAGACCTACAAGTGAATAGGCTGCGCAAACTTCGTGGTGCACCCTATGTGGTACAATTACAGTCTGTTCGCTGAGAGCTGTCAACTCCACTGCTCGCGCAAAAAAACCCACCCACCCGCCCGCAACTTGGAGAGTAAAACCCATGATGCAGCAATTGTGATGCCTACCTGGCGTTGGCTGGCGAATCGCGGCGGCGGCGCTTGCGCGCGCAGCCTCGCGCAACGCGCCCAGCTAATGTCGCGTGACCGCCGCGGCCGCGGTGGCGCTAACCGCTGGGGGACTTCCCAGCGCGTCCCCCAGGCCGCGCTGACTCGCGGGCGATGCAGTGCGAGTCGGCGATCTGGGCGGGCGCGGTATCATGGCGACGTCGGCATAGGCAGACACGACGATTGCAACGATGTTGGTGGCGATGGCGGCAACGACGACGGCAAGGCCAGCGACGGCGCCGATGGTGATCACGCCGATGGCGGTAATGGTGCCCGCGCGACGGCGACGAAGGCTTTGGAAAAATCTGCGCGTTCGCGCACGGCCAGCGGGCATGGGTGGTCCGCGTGGGACTAGTTGGCACGCAATGCGCCCTCCCCCCAGCATGCGCTTGAGGGTGTTTGAATAATTCCCACATGCGCGCGCAAGAGACCCGCTTGATCACGCGCGGTAAAAGTGTTGAGGCACATGCGGCTTTCCGAATGTAACAAATGGCAGAAGATCGCGTGTCAACTTATTTTGGACACTGGTGCTGCAAAACCATGTGCGTATGTTTTCGGGGCACTCCACTTTGAACTCGGCGCGAACCCAGAGCTGGTTTAAAGGATTGCGGCATGCGCGCGCGTCGACGAGCGCGCGCGCACTTCGCCCCATCGTTGACCAGGGGTTCTTGAAACTTGCTGAGTTATGATAAACGAGCGCGCAGACATCTTCTTCTTTTGCAGGGGATGGTGGCGGGGGGTGGGTCGAACCTGGTTTGGGCGGGGCGACATGAACACATCGGGGCCGAATCGCACGCACATCGCACATCGCAGGGGGCGGGGTCAAACGAGGGGGAAAGTAGAATCTGAATCTCTTTTACACAAGGAACTCTGTTCGCAGCGTCGTCAACTCCACTTCTCGCGCAACCCTCGCACCCGCGCGCCCGCTACTTCGTTTGCAACAGCCATGCGGCGGAAATTGGGATGAATATCTGGCGTGGGCTGGTGCATCGCCGCGGCCGCACTGGCCCGCGCATGCTCGCGCGCGCGAAGCGGCCAACTTGTTTGGCGAGACCGACGCGGCCGCGGCGGCTCCGGCGTCTGGGGGCTTCCCAGCAAGCACTTGAGCGCGAGTCGGCGACTCGACCGGGCGCGGGGTCATGGCAAGTCTACAACGGTTGACGCGATGATGGTGGTGGCGGCGCTGGTGGCGAGGATGAAAACGGCGAAGGCAAGGCCAGTGACGTCGCCGATGCTGATCACGCCGATGGCGCTGATGGTGTCCGCGCGACGGCGGAAACGGTTTTGGACCTTGGAAGGACTTCGACATGCGCGCGCGGCCGACGGGCGCAAGTAGCCCGCGTGGAACTGATCGGCACGCGTTGCGCCCCCCCTCCCCAGCGCGCGTTCAAGAACGATCGGAAAATCCGACATGCGCGCGCGAAGGATCCGCGTGGCCGCGCGTGGCGGAAGCGTTGAGACACGTGTTGTTGTAATAAAAAAGTGCGCGCGCCGCCATTTTAAACACTGATGTTGCATAACCCCACGTGTATATGTTGTCGGGGCGCTCGCTTCTGAAATCCGTGCGAAACCCTGAGCGGTTGCGGCATGCGCGCGCGCCGACGCGCGCGCGCGCTTCGCCCCATCGTTTACATGGGGTTCTTGAAAGTTATTGATTCGCCATGAACGAGCGCGCGCGCATAATGCTTCTCCTCCTTCTGCGGGAGGTGGCGGCGGCGGCGGCGGCGGCGGCGGCGGTGGCGCGGGGGGGGGGGGGGGGGGGGGGGGGGGTCGAACCTGGTTTGGCTGAAATGATATGAACTCATCGGGGCCAAACGACGACGGCGTCCTCGCGTCGGCGATGAAGGTGTTGGAAGGAGATCGACATGCGCGCGCGGTCGACGCGCGAGAGTGGCCCGCGCGGCATCATTCGGCGCGGATCGCGCCCCCGCCTCCCCCCCCACCCGGCCCTGCCCCCGCCCCGCACCGCGCCGCCACCGCCGCCGCCACCACCACCGCACCCACCCCCACCACCACCACCACCACCACCGCCACCACTGCGCACGCGCGCGCAGACAGCGCGTGGAAGGGCGCGCGGACGATTTCGACATGTGGCGCGAGAGCCCCGCTCGGCCGAATGGAATAAAAATATGTCTAGACGCATGATATACAGAACTCGCAGGGGAGCGAGCGCGAGCAACTTAGATCGCGCAACCATGCGTTTAACATGTTTTCGGGGCGGTTGAT